TCAATAAAATTGAAAGAATGAAATTAAGTGGATTAAGCTTCTGTCTCATAAAGTTAGGAAAAAACAAACTGAAAGAAGGTAGTAGGAAGGAATTAATAAAGATATATGCAGATATTAAGGAGTTAGAAAACTGTAAAATAATATAACTAGCAAATCAACAAAAAGCTCAGATAATATCGATACTTTTCTAGAAAAAATTAATTAACCAAAACTGATTTCAGAAGAGATAGAAAATCTAAGACATAAATTTCTATGTAAGCAATATAGAATTCTAAACATCTGCATCTTCAAAAATCACTAGTCCTAAGTAATTTCACAAGGAACTGTGTGAAACCTTTAAAGAGCAGATATTTCTGAATCTATTTAGTCATTGAAAAAGAAGAAAAAATTAAAAGTTTTAAAGTAAGCACAATGTTGATAGGAAAACCTGACAAATTGCATAAGAAGAAAAAATAATAGATAAGTTATTTATGAACATCGATGTAAAAGTTTTAAATTAAAATTAGCTAAGGCAATCTAATTGCATTAAAAGAATAACATAATGACTAAATGATGTATACTGCAGGAAGGCAATGATGGTTTAAATAAGCAAATCTAGTAATATGACTTATCCTATTAATAGATCCAAAAAGAATAGTTATATGATCGTTTTCATAGATGCTGATAGGCATTTGACAAAATTCAATGCTCAGTTTGTTTTAAACACACCCCCACACAGGAATCAATTAATATATTCTTAAAATGAAAACATTTTCTCTATTTATCTAGTTAGCTATTTTAGCCCAAAACACAGCATTTTATTTAGGAGGGAAATACTTGAGACATTTCTGCCAGTAATTAAAATAGAATTAGAGGTATTAACCAATGCAAAATATTAGAGCTATAAGTGATGGAAGGAAAGTGACAAATTGTTTCTTTTCTTTTTTTTTTTTAGTTGGTATGATTGAATACCTGGAAAACCCAAGGAAGAGGCTCGTCACAGCTTTTTCTCTTACTTTTCACCCTAACAGGGCTCTGTGCTGCCCAGATTTTACTTCTTGGGACACTTTACTAACACTCACGAGCATTTCTGCAGTGAGGAGGCAAACATCAATCCTCCTAAGTCAAGAAGGTGGGGGAATGAGGCAGAACTCAATCAGAACTTTTTTGTACATCTAAAGTGAGTGAAAATAAAAGGAAAGAACCAAAGAGGGCCAAACATTCAGAGATTCTTAATTAGGTAAAAATTTTCGGGTACCATTGTGTGCAAACTGAGAGGGTAGTGTTAAAAAGAAACAACAGGTCCAAAATGGAGTCACTTGGGCTAAGCCCCACCTCAGCGAACTAAGATTTAACACCTAACCTAATTGCAGTTTCAGTCTCTCCGTGGAGTGGAATTTTAAACCAATCAGGTTGATCAGCACTAGTGAGGTAATCTGGCTGATCAGACCCCTGCCGGTCCTGGCCCCTAAGAGAAGGTGGGGCCTAAAACAACCCGCTCTTTGTTTTTATAACTTCCTTGTTCTGCCCCCTATAAAAACCTTCCATTTTGTACAGCTCATGGGAGCTCCCTTTTTTGCTAGATGGGATGCTGCCTGATTCATGAACTGGATAATAAAGCCAATTAGATCTTCAAATTTACTCGGTTGAATTTTGTTTCTTTAACAGTAGTCAACGTTAGATAAAGAGTAGGATTCTTAAAATCAAGATTTCAGAAAAGATGAGATCACAGGGTGACTAAGTTGGGGTGGGGAAAAAGGTCATTTGAGGAAGGGGAGGAGGTGAAGGAACTGAGAAGGCGGCTTGCTGAACAACGTAAGAAAACTCTCGTGAGACCTTTCATTTTATTCTTGTTTACGTCAATGGTCAACCACATGTAGTCACTATTTCAAACTTTCTACCTTTCCCAGACCTTCCCTTTTATCACTCTTCTCATTTTTACGTGGATGACCTTGACCTCTCGTTACTGATAAAGCTTCCCTGATTGTCCCAGACCTCTCTCCTCTGAACTTCTATAACGCTTCATTGAGCACAGAGTGCAGGAACCATACCACACATCAAGATCAGCGGTTCATTTAATACACAAATCACCCAATGAGGTAGAGACTATGATTATTCTCATTATATAGATGAAGAAACAATTATAGAAAAGATGAATAAAATTCTTAAAGTCACCATTTAGTAAATATTGGGGTCAGTATTCAAATCCAACTTATCGATTAGTGCTAATTGTGTACTTGTCTTATCTTCCCCATAGAAATGAACATCTTTTCGGGAAGGTCTAAGTCTTGATTCATTTCTGTATTCTCCACTGAACCTCTCTTGATACCTTAAGCATTGTAGTCACTCAATTTATATTTATTTGAATAAATGATTAAGTGAAATCATCTAGCCAGAGTTTCTCATCATTCACTCTCCTGGCTAAATATTTCTCTGGATCCTCACCTTCCAATCTTTTTGTGGCTTTTAATTTTAAGTTTAATTCTATCTTGAATTACAGTGAGGAGCCATGGGATTGGATTAGGATAGTCCTGATTGATTTAAAGTTTATTGGCCTTATGAGCTCAATCCCTGCCATTTTGAGGATGGCCCCAGTGAGAAAGCTCTTTATGGGGCTGGGAGTGTCTCATTTGAAACCAGGATTTCAGGTTAGTGGAAGATAGGCTATGTATTATTCTGTTCTTTTTTTCTTATTAAATGTGTGAAATTGATAGAAAGGGAGAACTTTCTCTGTTAAAAGTTTAAAGCATTTGTTTTTCAGTTGTAGGAACAATTTTTATTTTTACATTGGAAACTGTGATAGATGGAGTTTCCATTTCTCCCAGATTAAAAATGGTATATATATGTATGTACATATATATAGTTATTGTCACATGGGTGATAGCTAGTATTGCTATGTTGCCGTGTTAAAAGTTTTAAGGACACATTTTTTTCAGGCAAAATCTTTTCTTTTTATGGGAAACTGAAGGAGTAGACCAGAGTTGGACATGAATGATTTTGGAGGATGTTGAGGGATTAGATAGGGATGATACTGAGTGAATTCAATTTTACATATTTATTTCACTTAGAGCCAGACCATCAGTCATGCTGCTTCATTTTGAGGCTGAGTCCAAAGGGGAAAGCATGTTTCTAGATCTTGGAAAATGTTCATGTGAAATCAGGATTTCATATTATTGGACAATTGCCTGTTTATTCCTCTACCTTGTTTCTTTTTTTTTTTTTTTCTGAGGACGATTCACCCTGAGTTAACATCTGTTACCAATCCTCCTCTTTTTGCTTGAGGAAGATTCGCCCTGAGCTAACATCTGTGCAAATCCTCCTCTATTTTGTATGTGTGTCGCTGCCACAGCATGGCCGCCGACAAGCCGTGTAGGTGTGCGCCTGGGACCCAACCGGGCTGCTGAAGTGAGTGTACTAAACTTAACCACTAGGCCACCAAGCTGGCCCCACGGGTTTCTTATTTTTAAAAAAATGTGTAAAAGAGATTAAGGCAAGAACTATTTACATTTGAAATGGAGTTTAAAATTTTAAAATCTTTACCTTTTATTTTGGTGATTAAATTTTTTTAATCAAATTTTCAGACTATGGAGGCGTGTATGGGTTTTTGCATCTTTTCATGTTCAGGTTTCAAAGAAATATTTTCACTCAAAATAGTTTCCTTTAGTGAGATGATAACAAACTGAGGTTTACTACAAGTGGAAAAGAACATTTTGGAGAGCCAGCCCTGATGGCCTAGTGCTTAAAGTTCGGCATGCTCCGCTCCTGCAGCCTGGGTTTGCTTCCTGGGTGTGGAACCACATCACTCCTCTGTCCGCTCCTCTCTCAGTAGCCATGCTGTATCAGCCGGCCACACAGAAGAACTAGGAGGACTTAGAACTATACACGAGTATGAACTGGGGCTTTGGGGAGGGGAAAAGGAAGAAAAATGAGGAAGATTGGCAACAGATGTTAACAGATGGCAAATCTTTCCCTGCAAAAAAAGAAAAAAAAGAAAAACAGAAAAAAAAAAAAAGAACGTTTTGGAGTCTGTGATTGATCTGCTCACAATGGAATTATATGGGAGCTGATTGAATAAAATTATTATTTCAATCATATGTATCTTCATTAATTAATACCCCATTTCCTTTGTGCAAGAAACTGCTGAATCTACAATTCAGTTCCTGAATGAATTGGCCAGCTGGGAGATATTTTTATAATTTTAGTTGCTTAAAGAGTTAAAGTTAGAATTGGTGGTGGTATGTGACATATATGAGAGGTTTTATTGTTGTAGTAGATAATACTTATGTTTTATATGAAAGTGGTTTCATATAGATCTCCAGCAATTTCAGCTATATCCAGAACAGACCCTGGGATTTGAGAATTTGATGTTTATTAATTTAAAACCATAGCATCTGAGGAAAATGGCATCTAGAATCCAAGTTTTACAATAACGACATTTCATGAAGTCGTGAAAACAATTAAATATTTCACGAATATATTGCTTAAATGGAATCCAAAGACTGCACAGAACAGGCCTAAGAAATGGAAAACCAGGATGTCAGATACCGTTGTAATAGCCACTCCTGTCCAGCAGGTGGCGAGGGGGAGAGGAGGTGAATTTACTAAACAATGCCAGAAAAGAAAAAGGCCTGGGGGTGGGAGAGCACGGCCAGTTTTGGGGAAAAACTATAAGCATTAGACTCAGGCATAGGCGGATTTTGAAGATTTGGAGTGAAAACATTTGAAGAAACGTTTATATACACGACCAAATTATGGCGTTAAAAATCAATGGCTCCTTATATGATAAAAACGCTGAAACAGGGAACCATTGGGGTCCTGCTGGAGCGGGAGTGTGGAGTTGTCATCCAAGGCGTCAACACGCCCTACCTCTACTTCGGCATGTGGAAGACCACGTTCGCTTGGCACACGGAGGACATGGCTACCACTCTGGCTTCAACTACGCGGAAGCCGTCAACTTCGCCATCCTGTGATGGACTGATTACGGCCAAGCGGCCTCCCAGTGCAGCTGCGAGGAGGCCAAGGTCTCCTTTTCCATGGATGCATTCGTGCGCATCCTGCAACCCGAGCGCTATGAGCTGTGGAAACGCGGGCAGGACCGGGCTGTCGTGGACCACACGGAGCCCACGGCGCCGGGCAGCCAGGAGCTGAGCTCCTGGCGGGAAATCTGCTCCGAAACTCCACCCAACTGTTAGACATGGTAGTGGTCGTTGTCTTTGGGTGCTGGAGGTTCGGGAGGCGACTGTCCAAGCCAAGGCCAAGGGGCACCTCTTGGTGGGCACAGCGCGCACAGCTCCGGACCTGGAGGCCAAGGCCCAGCCCCCGGACAACGCTGGATCCCAGAGCCCTGCAACCCGTCATCTTGCTAAGTCTTCCGTGGCTGAGGGTCCTTGGACGGCTTTTGGACCTTGTCCTGTTCCTCCCGGTTTCTTCTTGATTGCCTCTTGTGTGCCGCCACTCGACACTGTTAATAATCAGTTGAGCTCTGGGCCAAAGTCAAGTTCGCAAAACGCTGTTTTGTTTCTGACAAAGCTCTCCAAAAACGCTGCTGACCAATGCTGAATTCTGGATCCCTGGCAGTGGCATAAATCCTCGGTTTCATTTGCGCCTCTGAGCTTATTGTCCTTAAAAGGATTAGGTTTGGCGTCAAGAGTTCAAATCCTAACTCTGTCACTCACTACTAGTTATGGGAACTTGAGCAAGTTAACTTACCCTCTCAGAGCCTCAGATTCTTCATCTGTAAAATGGGGATACTATGCACACTTCACAGATGGCTGTAAGGACCATATTAGCTAATGCATAAAACCATCTTTTAACAGTGCCTTCCATGTACTAAGGGCTCAATTAACAGTAATTATTATTTTATCTTGATCATGTCTTTAGAGACCACCTGGAAATATGGGTTCTGCATGACCTTTGGAAAAGTCTGGGGCAGAATAAAGGAGATTCTAGGTAAGCATCCTTAGAATAAAAATAGAGGGAAAAGTTGAAATGGGACCATAATTACCATCTGAGAAGGGAGTTGGAAGTTAGACTAATGACATTAAGACAGGATCTTTGTAAGGTACTGAAATTGTGTGTGTGTCTGTGTGTGTGTGTGTGTGTGTGTGTGTGTGTGTGTTGCCTCCTTCTGCTTTCCTGCAGCAATAAGGAGTCAAGCCTTTGTTTTCTATTTGGAGCAGCAAGGAAGTAGGGAGGTGGGGAGATTTTATCTCCCTCTCCAGCCAGGCTTCGAGATAGAAGAATAAGGTGGGTGTAGCCATGAAGAGGTGAGGCAGGTGGGCGAGTACCTGGGATGCACTGTAGAGAAGAAAGGAGACTCGGGGAGGCCTACTGGGGTCTAGAGGGGTCTGGGGAACTCACAAAGGCTCTGTGCTATTCCTCATCCAGTGCTGGCAAAGATGTTTAGAGAGGGACATCTTTCTCTTAACAGTGTAACCAGAACTGTGGAGTGAGGTTCTGGTGTCTGGAAACGCCCATTGTAGGCAGCTGTGTGGGAGAAGTTCTGCCTGCCTCCTATTAGGACTTCTGATACAAATGGGCCTCAGGACAGTGGGTGAAATAACATCTTTGGGGACCTGAGAATTGCTGTTGGTCAAGGGAGACAATCAGTCCTGTGGGTAGAGAAAACCCTGTAGAAACTGGAGTTACACAAGACATCTTGCAGCACCTGAGATAAAAAGTTAAAAAGGTTTGAGTGACTGCAGTGAAGGGCACCATGAAGGGAGTTCATGATGCTGAGCTGGACCCTCAGATTGGCTGGGGTAAAATAGAGGCATTGTGATGAAGTCCCAGTCCTGGGTAGCGTAAAGCTTTCTGTCTGAGTTCCCCCACTGCTTCCCCTTGTCATTCTGCATTTCTGCACCTTCTTGCCACTTCAATCCTCCCATCAGTAAACCCAGGGCCATGAGGCCTGTTTGATGTGGTGGCTGTGACAACTGAGCCAGATTTCTGGAGCCTGAGCCACTCCCTGCATTGTTGCCAGGCTGTGAGGCTGTCTTCCCTGGCCTAGCTTGAGCTGCAAAGGGTTTTCTTCCTCACCATCGCAGAGAGGGTGACTCCTGGGAAAGTCTGACTCTGCTGGTCATTACCAATGGCCTTTTATCCTTGATATGGGAAATTCTAGAAAGGCTATTACTCTGGATAGTGCATGATTATCTATTGTTATTCCTTCCCTATCACCTCCCCTGCAGTCTCTTATTTTTCTTTTAATGGCGAAGTAAGTAAATGATGATGCTGTGGGTGTATTTTTATGTCTTCCCTCCATCCACAAACTCAGTCCATCAATATACCTGCTCTGATGTGTATGTGCTTTTGCCTTTCCAGCAGTTAGTCAGAAGGGAGAACTGGACTTAGGGTCAGCAGAACAGCAGTGGAACCTATGCTTTGCCGGTTTCTGGTTGTGTGACCTTCAGCGAAAAATCATTGATTTCCTCTGAGCCAAAATTACACTGCAAGAGTTTTGTGAAGATACTGTAGACGTAAATGTGACAGGCATGTAGGAGGTGCTGGGTTAATTTGGATGTGCATCCATACACTCTCCCCACCTCTAGGGCAAGCACAAGGCCGAGGACATGCTTTCATATTCTCTCTATGATGCTCAGTTCTACTCTTGCTCTCATCACCACCCCCACAGGCTTACCCCTTACCTTTTTTATAAATTAATACACTATATTTTTTAGAGTGGTTCACAGTAAAATTAAGTGGAAAGTATAGAGAATTCCCCCATACCCCTCCCCAGCCTCCTCCACCACATGCACACCCATGTGGTACATTTGTTACAACTGATGAACCTACACTGACACATCATTATCATCCAAAGTCCATGGTTTAGCTTAGGGTTCACTCTTGGTGTTGTACATTCTATGGGTTTGACAAATGTATAATGACATGTATGTACCCTTACAGTATCATACAGAATAGTTTCACTGCCTAAAAATCCTCTGTGCTTTGCCTATTCATCTCTTCCTCCTCCCAAACCCCTGGCAACCACTGATTTTTTCACTGTGTCCATAATTTTGCCTTTTCCAGAATGTCATATAGTTGGAATCATATTAGTATGTTGTCTTTTCAGACTGACTTCTTTCACTTAGTAATATGCTTTTAAGTTTCCTCCATGTCTTGTGGCTTTGTAGCTCATTTCTTTTTATTGCTGAATAATATTCCATTGTATGGCTATACCACTATTTCTTTATCTACTCACTTACCAAGAAAGACATCTTGGTTACTTCCGAGTTTCATCAATTATGAATAAAACTACTGTAAACATTCATGTGCAGGTTTTTGTGTGGATATAAGTTTTCAACTCATTTGGGTAAATACCAAGGAGCATGAATGCTGGATTGTACGGTAAGAGTATATTTAGTTTTGTAAGAAACTGCCAAGCTGCCTACCACCCATCATTTTTACTGGTAAAAAACTGTTTTTTTTCCTCATGATCTACCACATATTTGTACAAAAGGTCACACATGCTTATTTGCAAATTCCATTCCTTGTCATGTTTGGCCTTGCTGCAGTGTTACCAAGGCAAGATCAAGATTTCATAAACAGTCAGGAGCCAGAGGACCCAACCTTCATTCAGACTCTTACACTGACTTGTTGAGTAATCTCTCAATAAATCAACTCTTTCCTCTGACTCTCCACTTCCCTATTTAGGCAAAGGGAGCTTTTAGCCATATTGCACCTGTGCTAGAGTTTATACACAACAAGATGAGACTGGTGCAAACATAATTTGTGCTAAATAAATATTAGCTTTTATCACTATTACTTATAAGCCAAAACTTGTAAGATGGACATTAGAAGCTGTACTTGAATGCAACTAGTAGAGCTTGGTGTTTGGGTCTTGGGATTCTCTAAGATTTATAAAAAGTTTCAGTTTTGGATTTGTCTGACTACCTGGCCACACTGAACTATTCATAAAGATTAACCATTACACCACTTCAGTTTCAGTATACGTAAGGAGTCCTTTCTAGATATTTAGAAATAACTTTACCATACTATTTATTTCATTGGATTGTGGCTGTGTATGGATTTGAAGTTGCTTTTGCCCCCAGGGTTTATGTTACCTTCTATCACTGTAAGTGGGAAACCACAAACAGTTGCTAGGAATTGGCTACAGAGATAAGTGGAAAGGAAACCCATCTGAGTTGAGCAGAACCCTGGTCAGGAACAGCCCTTCACTCCAGCTGCCTCGCCCACCACACTTTGCTCACCAGCCTCTCAGACTGAAATTCCTCTTGTGCTCTTGTCGTCCCTCATTGCCACTGACCTGCAGTGACTGCAGGGTGATAGTGAGACCCTTCTCACTCATCCTCAGCAAGCGGTGGATGCAATGGAGATAAGCAATTTCAAGGAGGACAGAGGAAGGGCAGAACTGAGCAATGTGGGGGACTGCATCCAGGCCTGTGGACCTCGGAGAGCATCTTTTCTCTGCCCCATCCCTCAAAGCCTCTTCTCAAAAGATTCACCTCACGTGTCTATGTATTTCAGGGTCCATTCATTCATTCATTCAGCACACAACTACTGAGCACTTACTGTGTACCAGGCACTGTTCTTGGAATTGAGGACACAAGAGTGAAAAAGGCAAAGTTTCAACTCTCTTGGAGCTATATTCTCATTTTAAAGAGTGACATATAATCACATGTCAAGGAGTTGTAAGAGCTATGAGGAAAAATACAGCAGAGTAAGGGGTTAGAGAGTGACAGGGCTGCTATATTTGATAGGCCGGCCTTTTTGAGGATGTGGGGAAAGGCTTTGTTGACTGAGAAGGCCTCTTGGACATGTGGTCTTGGAGTGCACCATGTGGACATGGGAGTGGGGGCATCATTATAGGTAGAGGGACAACATGTGCAAATGCCCTGAGGTGGGGGCATCCTTAATGTGCTCACAGATTAGCACAGTGGCTAGAGAGCAGGAGTGAGGGAGTGGGAGCCAAGGCAGGGGTCTGGTTGGGGGATAGGCACAAAATGTCATAACTCAGTTAGTGCATACTCCTCCAGAAAACCACTGAGAGATTGGAGCAGTTGGTGTTTTAGGCAAGCTGGGATGGAGGAATTTGGGGACCACAGAGCCTTTGAAAGTACTCATAATTCATAGCCAGTCCTGGAAATGGCTCTGTCTTTCCTACCAGATGAAAATCCTGAGAGCAGGAGCTCTATATGTTTTGATTCCCTGCGTATCAGCTAACATGGTGTGT